TTTTTGAACATACTATGGTGAATAATCTTGTCTTACATTAGAAGAAGATTGTGTTAAATAATGACATTGTAAATTTGTATCTACATGTCACTTAAATTAATGGTAAATATTTATTCCTTGAATTCTTCTTTTCAAAATTATTAACAATGCTACTCGAAAAAGCAGGTAAATATACTCTTAATAGTTTCACATTTCTATTTGAAGTGGAGGGAGGGTTTTATTTAACATACACACACAAAGGAGGGAAATAAATAGATTTGAATATTCAAATGATGTGAGGTGTGCATCATCATTGAATACTTTCAATTTGATTTTGATCAAGAACACCTGCAAAAAGAAGAGAAATATCTACATTTCAAATTTATCTCATGTCCTCAAAAAGCATCATCATCAAGTGGAGTTATGCAAGAAATTATTCTTCATATTTGAAATGGGAAGGAATTTTTCTTCTTGTTCAAAATATTCTTAGATATACAATAACAGCTGCATTTTTGAAAACTGCTTAAAATTAATTTAATGCAAACAGCCATTCACTGATGCTGTATTTAGGAGACTGGTGCAAAAGATAATTTAACTAGCTTAATATGATTGCATTCAATGTAAATTATGTACAGCAATTCAAGAATTTTATACATTTGTATTAGGAGTTGCCAATGATTTAAATTAACAGTAAAATTAGGAATTAAGGACACATTTCTTTTTGAAATCCATTATATTCTATAATGGTAAATTTTGATGAACATGACAATACAACAATCAACCTTCTTATTAGAATCCATTATTCCTTTCTTTTCTTGTGTAATTAAAAATAAGGTTGATTCAAATCCCTGACAAGTTAGTTAATCTCAATTTATCATTTAAAATTTTGGAATAAAAATGAAATTAATGTAGTTTTTATTTTAATTAATGAAACTAGAAACAAAATATATTTTATTAGAAGGAAAAACTTAAAATACTTCATCTAAAATTTAATAAATCTTTTCCCACAGTCATCCTAACTTGTTGATGGCAAAAATATGACCTGATAATAATCTATATATATACTCTGCACAGCATGTGTAATATATACTGCGCACAACACACATATTGAACTTAGAAATACATATGATTGTACAATAAATACTCAGCAAAATTCAAAATGCCTTTTTTTTTCATAAAATCAGTTTAGAAATACATTCCAATAAAGGTCTGAATCCTTAACAGTTTACAGAATTTCATAAATGGCTTTTTTTTAAAAAATTATAGTAAATATAAAAGTTAACTTTCTAAAATTTAACATAATAATTAAATGTGAATAAAAACTGAATATTGTAAATATTATACAAGTACATACACAGTACAAGAAATACATACATACACAGTACAAGAAAGTAATCAAATTTTAAATTGTTAAATACTGTACTCTTATATTATCACAGTTTTAGATAAATACTAAAAATCACAAATGTCATAAATATATGTTCAACAATTCATTTTTTCTGTAATCAAAATACGTTAGATATAAATTATACTAAAATATTTTGAGTTACTGAAATTATTTACTAAAAATCACAAGCTTGACAGAAACTTTAAATCATATAAATTTTATAAACATGAATACTTTACATTTTTATATTGCTATGTCACATATATATTAAGTTATACTATTATATCACATTAAAGGTTACTCTTACAAAAAAATTTTCATATTTTGTCATACAAAACAAATATAAAATACTTATTGATTATTTAAGTAAAATTTTACAGGGCTGTCTTGATGGTATAAAAATCATATACTAAGATGTAATTTTTATTTTTTCCAGGATAAAAATTTAAACGGGAAAACATTTCTAGGTATATAATATTCAAGATAATTTTGTATAAAAAAGTTTAAGAATTCTTGAAATTTGTAATTTTGTAAGATTAAGTTTAATTGTTTATTTTAAAAAATAGTTGCTGTAATTTTATTTTGTTATCAAAATATAATACAAATTTTGTTCAAAAGGCATGATATATCATTTGAAGAAATAAAAACTGTGTGGAGTTAATTAGATGAAAGCATAGCAGAATTCTTAAATATTGACTTTTAACACATGAATAAATTATATTTAACTGAAAAAAAAATTTGGCACACGATTTTTAGAGGGAATGTGCACTTTAAATTGCACACATCCTTTATAAATTTGATTTTCTAGCTGTGTTTATTTTATATTTTCATATATATTATATATGAAAAATAAAAGATTGGATAAAAGTATAATGGGAAAATAAACTTGTTAAATAAATTAATGCTCTCTTCCTCCCCCAAAAAAATTATTTCTTTAAATTCAACACAAATCATATATGAAAAGGTTTCAAAGCCAAATGCTCTGTTTAAGAGAGGGGGGGGGACCTGTAATAATAAAGTTAAAGTATTGTGAAAAAACATTCTGAAAGAAGAAAATCAGATTTTTTTTTTTTAAATCACACTCTATGCAGTTATGAACACAGAGATGTTTTTCAGTATAGTGCAGAGACTAAGAAATTACTAAAAAAAACCAATTTTCATCTTTACTCTATCACACTGACACATACACACAGAAAAAAAAAAAAAAAAAAAAAAAAAAGCATTTATCTGAGTTAAAAACAAACATTTTGCAAGTATATGTAGGAAATTCAAATTAACACTGATTAAAATAAATTTACTTTCGATACTTTTTAAATACATATTTTTAATTGAAAATGCACCAACTTGGTTAAATTCATTCTGATGCAAAAATTTCCTAAGATTCATAACAGAAGACATGCTATCCTAAGTTCATAAAACTAATACAAAATTATTATACAGCTTTTGGACGGTATTTATTAAAATATTCGTTGTAATTTATTATTTTTCATTACAAATGGCACAATTTTAAAGCTTTCAACTTATTAGTAACCTATGACACCTGAAGTATATTTACTGCAATCTAGATTTAAATTTCCGAAAAATTTCATTATAACAACTCTTATAATTGTGTTTGATGTATGTAGAATTTATTAGAAACTGGTTCAGAGACTACATACAGAATACCATCTGTAACAGTCTTATTTCCACACTGGATTCAATAATGCAGATGCAGTATAAAACATTTTTTATGTTGTTTAAAAGCTACCTATACACATATTCTTAGTTTTCTGTTGTGTTTTTATACATATATACATAGATTTTACTCATTTACAGATGATCACTTAATCATGAACTGCAGGCATATGCATCTATCTTAGAGACATTTTGTAAGTAATATTTAAAATTAAGTCATCTGACATGCATTTTTTATTATCTGCCTCTGTTTCTCAAAATGAATATTACCATACACTTAGGAGCATTAAACAGTTTCAGGTCTCAAGGTGGGAGCATTAGTGGTTAATTTGTAACGATACTATAATAAGATTAGATATAAATTATCCAAGAACTTCAACACATTACATAAAAAACATCATCATAGTTTCCATTATACTCCTTTTCATAACAATTTCTCCAAAACTTTCAATATGAAAGCAGTTGGCCCAACAAACAGAGAATAGCATCATAATTTCCATTTCCTTCCAACTCATAGAAAAGAAATACTCAAACATTTCTGTTAAGAATATTTTCCCCCAAAATTTGAAAATTTCCTAAAACCTTGAAAAATTTCCCAATGCGATGCTAGAAACTTTACTATTTCTAACAGTATATATCACATCAAGTTAAATAAGTCTTTAATGTTACCTTTTGAAAATGGAAACAAAAAACTGCCTACAATTTATTGAACTGAGTAGTTTATAACATTTATTAACAAATCTTAATTAATGTTACTTTACTCATCTATCTGAATGATTTAAGTATTATTAATGCTGCACGATTGTATGTCTACATAATTTTTATTATAAAGAAAATTGCTTACTGTTTTCACTGCTAATATCCTTCAAATAAATTGATCATTGTGTTAAATGATTAGTAAAATAATCAATAGGTTGTATAGTAATTAAGGATAATTTTATGGTACTTTCTGATTATCTGTACCCCCCCCCCCCAATGAAATGTCACCATATCATTGCCAACTTTGAGAATTGATAAAAAAAAAATATTTGCTACTCTTTTCTTCATAAATAACAATAAAAAAAAGCATTTTTCTCAGAAACAAAAACAACAAGAACAAAAAAAATTAAGGCAGTGATTAAACCCTGTTATGTGTAGGATATTGGATGGTGTAACTTAATTGTTACGTGTGTACTAAAAAATATGCCAAATACACAGCAGTTCTACCGAATATTTAAACTATCAGGTGCAAATAATAGAAAATACAAATTTCATATACTTATTATCTATCAAGACACATATATATAAAAAACAGTTGTTGGATAAAATGGGCTTAGAGATCTAAAACATTTGTAAAACATTTCTATCTCATACTTTAGCTAATAAGCTTTACTTATTAATGCAACAAACACTATTACACATCTCAAAACTACAAAAATAATTTTATATACTGTGAAATACTGAGCATTAACTATTTATTAACAGAGGTAACAAGTAAATAGTTAACATTTATTAATTATTTTACCTTCATTTGAAATTTCTTAAGTATGCTTACATCTAACATGTTTATTCATATCAATTTATAAGGACTTTCATTATCAAAGTTTCTAAATTATTAAAATAAAAAAATTATCAGTTAAAATTTTTATAAAATAAAGTACTTAACCTTTTCAATCAAAAGGTAATACACTGAAAATTGGTTAATCTTTGGATTATGTCTTGGCGACTTTTTGGCAAAATTTGGCGACCAACCCTGCTAGTTTTTTGTTTTTCACAAAGTAAGGCAATTTTTTTTTTTTTTTTTACTTACATTTTTTTCCAACAATCTGCTAGCCGAATTATGCTTTATCTAGAACCTTTAGGAACAAAAGTGCTAATCATGACGAAGATTAGGTGCGAAATTGGGAGAAAGCAATCGCAAACTGCTTGCCGCGTTTTTAAGAATTGTACATACCGGTATCCATGTACACGTCGACCTATTTTCACTTAAAAAAATCCCAAATTGCACAAAAATGGCATTGTGCACACTCTTGACTTTATCCATCTACACTGCTAAAGTCCTAGCTAGTAACCTTTATTGCCTTACCAAAATGTCACCAAAATACCTGTTACCATGTTCCAAAGATTAGACAAAAATTCATCTAAAAATTTAAAAACTATATCAATATAAATGTTTGGTTTTCAATAATTACATAATTCTAAGATGACTTTTCAAAAATACAAATAATAAGAGGTAGAAAAATCATTATTCAAAAGGTTAGAATACAATAAAACAAGAAATACCCAACATTTAAACTACATTACATGAATTTTGTGCACAGCACAAAATATAAGTAAAATTTATATCATTTGATAAAATCAAATTTCACATTTTCCAAATATTTTTATTTGAGATCCGATTCTTGGCTTCTTTACAAAAGAATGGAAAAGGATAAACAATGATAAAAGAGAAGTTTAACAAGTATGTACAGGAAGTATTACCTTTCTTAAAACTAGTCTACTCATTCTTCTCATGCAGTTGCCAGCAAAATGTGTCAATTTTTTCATATACAGTAAATATAAAAATACCTCTTAAAAGCATGCTAAAGCTAAAGGCATGCTTCTAAACTATGCAATAGTAAAAATAAATGCCATTATATAAGATGTATATATTTTATATAAAAATATATGAATTTGGATTGTAACAGTAAATTTTACCTTTTTACTTGTACCATTGCTACAGTGTAAAATAAAACATTGCAGACTAACAATTTGAATAAGACCTACTCAAAAACTAATTCCTTATGTGAATTAATTTACGATTTAAGAGTACCAGCTAACAGCAGCATACTTCAGAGAAATTTAAGCTTAATGGATCACAAGCATTCATAGCTACAGATAAAACACTGAATAACATACAGAGCTGTTTATGTTGCAAATGGTAACCTTGGTTTTAACTATTAACTACCTGTATCCTCCATGCAAACAATTTATTCTGAAACCTATGCAGAATTATTTTTAAAATTGACAACTAAGCAATATTACAGAACAGATAGAAATTGTGACAATAACTTAATATTCAACTCAGCCATATGAAATGGTAGGCCACCAAACTTGAACTTCCCTTTGGGCGCCCCCACCTTAAGACACAGAGTATATTTACTATTTTTCACCCTTTTACATTACTTTTCTTTGAATAGCAATTAGGATGTGCCTTAAGGCTTCACAATTCCTACTTGTGCAACTCCAGAAATTTTCTGTTATATATATAACATTACTTTTTACCATCTATTTCATTAATATTTTTAATAGAACAATCCTGGATAACAAATTAATATCCTAGCATGCAATTCACAATATAATCATATACGAAATTTAAAAAAAGAAATGGGAAAATGTGATTTTAGAATAAGATGGAAATACTTTTGATTGTACACAAGAATTAAAGAATTCAACTGCATTTTCTTACACAACAAGTAACATCCATGATATAAATACAAAATTTGATACCTAAAATATTTTCAGAATAATGACATTTTATAATGATTATTTTCAGTGTATTTTTTTAAATTTTCATTTTAATCTATAAATGTCCTATTGCTCTCCTTAATTTATCAAAAACTAATTTATTTAATTGCAGTGAAATATTTATAGCTCTATTATTAATAAATTCATTTTCTTTAATAAAAAATGAAATATAGATTAGAAAATATGCTCCTGCATTCAAAAAGCTAGTAGAAAATACTTGTAGAGCCTTTCTGTTTGAAACCTAATAACTTTTGAAATAATATCTACTAGAACATACATACTTATTCTAGAGCTCCTGATATTTCTAGAAATACTAGTCGAACATTTCTTTTGATACTTGTCATAGACAGATTGTTACATCATTTTAGGTACTCAACACCTTCCCCCATTTACAAAAATTAACCCCAACTATCTCAATTAGAGAAAACAGTTAAGTGAGAAAGAAATTCATCTGGCAAATAAAGTGGTTGCAAAATGATTGGGATCTGTTTCTGATCACAGAAAGCCCAGCTTGTTTGCTCAAAATGCAACATTGTGCTGAATGATCACAAGACGCTTCAGAGCACACTAATTCCTTCCCACAATAAAATCCAATTATTGTTACATTTCATGCAAGTGGCATGACTTTTCAGCAAACTTGTTGAACAGAAGGGTATTTTTAATTCTCTCCCCCACCCATTAACCTGCAGTCCAAAATCAAAATTTAATAGTAATTAAAAAAAAAAAAAAAAAGCTACAAACAGTTGCTAAAAAGTGGCATGTAAAAACATTAAGTACACATTATGAAGTCTTTTTAAGACACTTTGGCAAGTTTTCATTACATAGAGAATTGGAATGGCAGGATGACATGAGGTAAACTAAGCTTTTCAAGACAATAATTTGCATTTGATTACTCTTCAAATAGAGTTACATGAACAGGAGCATTAAAAGGGGCTGCAGTGCTTTTAACTTGCTTACTGGACAAGTCTTGTGCTATTTTAATATTATCATTGTCCAATACAACAGTATGGTGATTTATATTACAATTTTCTTCAACTTTTTCACAGTGGCCACCATTGATTGTAGGATATTCACAATTCATATCTACAGAGGCAGAGTCTACATACCTATTCTTCTCAGGAGTATTGCATGTAGATGCATTTGAGGATGCTGTCTCATCAGCAAGTATGGAATCTAAGTCTTTAATAGCTTCATTAATACATAAATCAATGGCGTCTGTTTCAATTACTTCATTTTCTGCAGGAAGTGTTTCTAAACTATGCAGTTCAGAGGTACCAGCACTACTGCTAGGTTCATTTGTAGTATTATTCTCTGGAGTTGAAGCTATTAAATCTTCCACACTACCACGTAAATTCAAAAGACTAGGAGACATATCATTAGCAAGCTCACCTTCATAACCAATTGAAAATGAACCACTTGAGGGAGATTTATTTCCATATGGATTCAAATCAAAATCTGAGGACATAATGCTATCACAGTCTCTTGATGATGAATCTAACTCCTTTCTTTGAATAAAATCATTCTCAAACCTCAAAGACACATTTGGAGGCACATTTGGCAGGTTGTGTTCTCTAGGAACTGGCTGCATAGAATTCCAGCGAGACTCAAATGCAGTGGATTCTGAAAGGATATCCTTGTTGTCATACAAATAGCTCAAAAGGTTTCCTACTTTCTGAATTGTGGGCCGCAGTGCTGGTGGCAGCCAACAAAGTTGCATAATTTTGTAGCTAAAAGTATAAAGGGGAAAAAAAAATACATGAAAAGAATAAAAGAAAAAAATCTGAAAGCTTTCAGATTCATGTTTACTTAAACCACAAAATTCAATTCAACAGCAATATCACAAAATATTTAAAAAGAGCATATTTTTAGAATTTCCAATACACAGTCTCGCATGCTGGAGATAAAAATGTAATGTTACTTTTACATTAAACATCTTACGTGTTTATATATGTTGAATATATCTGTTATTTAATAGCCGGGTATTATCAGTTTCCCTTTCACTCAAAAATATGAAACAAATAAAATAATTGAGATGATAAGCCAAAACATTATGACCATCCCCATATTTTTCAATGAACTTGTCTAGATGATGTGGAGGGCACGTGATTAAATGGGAACGGTATTTAACTGCTAAATGGAGAAGGTAAGGAATTATGCTGGACAGAATATTTAAAACATGCATTCTAAATACCCAGACGAGACAAAACATTATGACAATCCCCACATTTTTCAAGGAACTTGTCTGGATGATGTGGAGGGCAAATGATTAAATGGGAACAATATTTAACTGCTAATATGGAGAAGGTAAGGAATCCTGCTTGCACTTATTTTTGCAAGTGATGGGAAAGGCTGTTGATAAAAGGAAATTTAATGGAGGGCAAATTGTAATTGGCCTAAAGACTCAGAAGAAGTATCTCCAAAACTGCATATAACTGGTAGGTTGTCATGATTTGCTGTTATTAGTATTTATGAAAAGAGGATAAATGATGGTGACACCATAAGCACCAGGTAACCAAAAAGGTTCTTGCCGTTTTGGACAGTCAGAAAGAAAATGTCATAAAACAAATAAATATTAGTCACCACTAATCCTCAAAGTAATCATCATCGGCATCCAGTGCCTTTTCCCAACGAGTGGCTAGCCGTGCGATGCCATCGTGGTAAAACTCAGGAGTCTTGCACGCAAAGAAGTCTGCGAGGGCCTTTTCAAGGTCTGAAGGATTTCCAACGAAGATGGTTGTACAGGAAATAGAAAAGGTGATAGTCTGTTGGCACAAGATCTGATGATGCAGCAGATGTTTCATTCATATGCCTCTGCTGGCCAAGTGTCATTGTGTCATTGTCAACTATGCCTACAGTGGGCCCGGGAACATCAAGACTGGAGCATGGATAAGTGGAAGACATCTACCTGGTTGACATTGAGGGTCATGTCAGGCTATGCCATGTACCAGGTGAACAACTGCTCCCCTTGGTATAACAGGTCACACACAGGCTGGTGGTTGCAGTATTATACTTTGGGCAACATTCTCATGGGTGATTCTGGAATCCTTAGTTATGGTAGAATAGACCATCAAAGCTGCAGACTTCCTACTGGAAATGGAATTTTCAAGCAAGACAAGGTCATAATAAAACAAGGCTCAAATTGTATTGGAATGGTTTGAGAAACATAAAGATGAATTCCAGTTAATGTCCTGGCCACCTAACTCATCGGATTTTAACTGATAGAGCACATTTGGGATATTACACAGTGGCAACTCATAGCTCAATGTCGTAATATCTTGACTTTGAGTGATCACTGCTAAAACATTCCATACTATCTGTCTCCAGTCATCTACCAAGAACTTGTGTCATCCATGCCAAGGCAAGTTGCAGCTGTTTTGCATGCCAAAGATCATGCAACATGTTATTGAGTAGGTTCTCATAATGTTTTGACTTTTCAGCGTATAGGCTAAACAGTAGTCTAATATTAATGCACTTCCCTTTTTATTATACATAATACCTTTTGAAACTATGTAAAGTGCACAAAATTCTATTTACTTTCAGTTATATGGACCCATTATTAGTTAAATGAATGAAGTCATATAAAAGAAAAGTCATAAGTAGCCATTAAATTGATTATTTGGTAAAGATTACTTTCAGTTCCATTATGGAGCAATAAACTAGAAATGAACACAACTATTCAAACAGTAAACAACATACCATATCTAAATAAAATATTATATGGGGAAAAAGTCAGCTGTAATATGCTAATATCCTTATTTCTATAATTCTGCAAAATTAAATATTATGTAATGCACTTAGAATTATAATACAAATATAAATATGTAGTTATTTCAAAATACAAGTATAAAATATATCTTCTTACATCATATCTTTATGAACACAAGGTGTTTTGGGTTGCTCAAGTTTTAAAGCACATTCAATTAAAACTTTTTGAATGACAACACTATCGTTGATACCAAAATAAGGCAACTTTCCAAATTCTAAAAGCTCCCAAAGTAGAACTCCAAATGACCTTTTAAAAAAATTAAGAATTTTTTTTTCAGTTTCTTTACTAAAATTCTACATAAAAGACTAAAACATACAAATATTAAATGAGCTCATGAAAATTATAAATTAAAATGCACAGTAAACACAATGTTTGTTATATAAATTCAAATGAAAAACTTAATACTCATCTAAATTTTTGGCAAAAATGTCTATCGAATAACCTAAGATTGTGAGGGAAAATCTGCACAGATAAGCTTTGAATGACTAACTAATGTGATATCCAAAACGAAATTTATTAAATCATATGGAGTTACATTAAAATATTCAAAAGGGATGTGAAAAAAAGGTTTTTGAACTGAAAATTTCTTGAATTTTCAATTTCTTTTTTTATTTTTTAAACATTAAAATTTTTATTTCTCTGAGCCTAGCTGCTTCTGTCTTATTCAAAATTAAAACTGATAAAGAATTTATACAGAAATTCTCTCCTTAAGTCCATACTAAATGTTTTAAGGTGACACTTTCTGCAATCGCAAAAAAAAAAAAAAAAAAAAAAAAAAAAAAAGATAGAAAGAAAGAAAAGAAAACAATGAAATTTGACATGATTTTATGAACAGTTTTCAACTATGTTTGTTAATGCATAATAAATACATTCAAAATTATTATCAATCATTTTTTGAGTGAATTTTTTAGTACTCAAACTGATATGTTTATAACAGGCCTTAAATTCAACTGGAGTCCATAATAGCTCCGATTAAAGAGAATTCTGGTGTTATCATTCATTATTTAAGTGTCTGTCATTAGTTTAATTTATTGTCTTCCCATTAAGTTTAATTATTATTTACCTTTTTTTTTTTTTCTAATGACTCTCTATAGGGCTCCACACTTCTAATTTTAGAAATTAAGTCCTAGTTTACAAGCTTTTTGTTCAAATTTTAAAAACATAAATAAAATAAACTGAAAATTATATATATGTACGATATACAAAAATATGATAGTTGCTTTAAAAATAACTGATGACCTCAAAATAAACGATTCTAGATTTGGTGCTCCCCCCTTAAATTCATCTGTTATCCCAAATTCAAGTTTCTTCTATGTTATGTAACAACCTAAGATTAACCAGTCATAGCTTACAGTACTTTCTGCATGTACTTAGTACTTACCCAAGTCTGCACACCAAGATCATATTGAATTTATTTTTAATCCTGTGATTTCTACATTTTAAATCTTTATATTTTGTTTTAACTTCCAGATACTTTAACAACTCTTCATGCAGGTTCTTCATATTGCAATCTGAAGTTTTTGGTTGAATATATGAATACACTCTTTTGGGGGAAAAAAAAAAAAAAAAAAAATCAAAGCACCAAGAAGGACTTTTGCGATTGTGACAAAATTTGGTATGCAAAAACATCTTGATAGAATAAGCAAATGATAAAAGTTTCAAGGCAACAAGAACAGGAATTGTGATCATAGCGCACATTTCTAGTGTGCAATTTGCAAAGTATAAAACCAGTAACAGAGATGGAAAATTTATCTTTTTTTGTTGCTGCCATTGTAATTCCGTAAAGAAGCAACTAAAGATCCCATTATGACGATATTCAAAGATCTTATAGACAACTAAACGACTTTGAACATTTACGACGATATTCAAAGATCTTATAGACAACTAAACGACTTTGAACATAGTCACATTGTAGGGTTGCATGAAGCTGGGTGGTCATACCAAGCAACAGGTTGCCACCTGCAGTGTACAGACACTGCTGTGCAAAGATGTTGGCAGTAATGGTTGCCTACAAGGAAATTGCCAACGAAATGAAGTCTCTGGAAGGCCAAGGAGTACAAATGCGAGGCAAGATAGGATGATTGTTCGCGAGGCCCAAACTGCCCCAACTGTATCATTGTCAACTATTCAATGCACTACAGCCACGTCTATACCTCCCGTAGTACCACCCATCATCTCACGGCGCTTGTCTGATGTGGGGTTACGCTCACAGGGGCCTTTAAGACATTTGCCTTTGACCCCACAATATCAGCGGAGTCGTTGGGAGTGGTGTCGTAGCCGATTATCATGGCTGCCATCAGACTGGTATCGTATAGTATTCAGCAATGAATCCCAATTCACTCTTGAAGTAGATGACCACCGTGTTCGTGTCTGGATGGGGCCAGTAGTCCCAATCAGCCTTTGTTTTACAAAGGCCCCACAATATCACCCATAACCCCTGGTGTGATGCTGGGGGCACTATTTCTTATGACAGCAGGTCATCTTTACCAGCTCAATGATATGTTGATACCATCCTGCGGCCAGTTGCATTACCCTTCATGGCACGTCACCCTGGGGCCATTTTCCAACAAGATAATGCCAGGCTGCATATCTCTGGACTGTCTCAGTGCGGTTGATACTCTTCCTTGGCCAACAAGGTTACTAGACCTTTCACCAATCGGGCAAGTCTGGGACATAGTAGGCTGCCAGACTCGGGCACCATTATATATTGCAGATCTGGAGCCACAACTGATGAATGCCTGGCAGAATGTGTCACAGGATGACTGATTGTGAGCCGTGAACAGGTACTATGACCGTGAGTTTTTAATCATTTTATTACCTGTGTATTAGCTATACACATATTCAATTTCATCAAAAACAACCCCTTTCTTCATGGTGCTTTGATTTTTTTGCAAAATTTTGTATATATATACAAGGTGTGCACATAAAATAACCAGATAATTTTTTATAAATAAGAAAACGATTATTAACCTTTAAATAAATTTATCTTCTTCAAAATAATTGCCAAAGGATTCTATACAATTTTTCCAACTTTTCTTCAGAAATTCAATGGAAGTATTTTTAATAGGTGCTGGAACTAACCGTGCGAAAAATACATGTGACATTTGGTTTAATGTCTGAGAGGTTTTCAAATCTCTGTCCTTCAATGCTCATCTTAAGCTTTGGAAAAAGAAAAAAATCAGCAAAAAGTTACGAGAATATGGTATAGAAATGTTACTTTCTGTATGGGGTCTAGTATTATTGGATAAAAGAAACCATTGTCTAGAGTTAAAAAGCTCTTTAACTAACTTCTCTTATTTCTTAATCAAAATAGCATCTCCTTGTAAAAATACTGATCGATTTTCAGCAGCTTTTTTTTTTTTTTTTTTTTTTTCTTGCTTATCTCAAACATGTTTTTGAGTTGTTACATGTCTATCAGCTTTTATCAAAGAATGAATTTCTGCCCATTTTTCTCAATCTTTGAGGTTGAAAAGCATCCTATCTTTGGTTCAACCAATGCTTTCACCCCCACATTTAAAGCAGGTGTACCACTCATACACATGTTCTTGATAGCGATGCACCATACACTGTTCTATCTCTAACGCTTCAGTAGCAGATTTACCCAAACTTGTTACAAAATTTAATATTATAATGTTGTTCCATCTTGATGTAAATTTTTTTGTACAGTATCTTCTTAGTAAATGAAAATGGCTTTGTCATTTTGATATGCAAATGACAAAATAACCAGTTTAAATTGGCTTTAACATGAGTTAAGATGTCACTCTTGCTAACTGTACAAAATGTGAAAGCATAAACACTTTCACATTTTTTATTTGAATGTTGTTTTTTTTTATTTGTCCACTTACTTTATGGATGCTCCTTGCATGTTAACTTTTTTGTATACTATATATATATGATTTTGTTTGTTTTGTTTTAACTTGTTCCATGGTTTGATTTTCATATGTTTTAACTTTTCAAGTGTTACATCGATAGGTATTTTACTGTATTTTTTGCCATTACTAGTTTCCAACGCTTAGTATTTTACTGTGTTTATTTTCTCGTGTAGCACAATTTCTCACCCTTCAATGACATTGTTTTTTTATATGTGTTGAACTTTTTTGGAACCATAGCTCCTGGTAACTTTTAGGCGAGCTTACTACAATTTCTAATATACTTAATTTTGCAGCACATTGCGCAAAAAATTATCTAGACCAAATTGGTCATACAGTATTGTACTAACTACCTTGCTTGTTAATATATATATATGTACAAACACACACAATTTAAACATATTGTTTTCTCACTAATGTTTGTATTTTTTATTTCTTACTACCTACCATATGTTAGAGTCTCGTGTGATATCTTTTGCTTCAATAATACTCTCAGTGCACAGCAAAGATTCTGGAGCACACCATCTAATAGGAAATGCAACATCTCCAAGGCAATAGAAGTCACCCTTAAAAAAATGAAGGCATTTACAGATAACTAAATTTATATGCACAAAATCTGAATAAGATTGCCCAGAATCTACACAAGATACACAACTTACTCTATGCAAATGAACAGCAGTACCATAATCACCAAGTTTAACAATACTGTCTTGTACAACCAAACAACTGTGAGCAGCTATATCACTATAAAATAACAACAATCATAAAGATTTTGCATTGAACAAAATTTGAGTTGCAGCTACAATAATTCATATAACCATTTTTTATAATACAGCATGAACATAACTTATTGCTTGACAGAAATAGTAATGAAAATTATCACTGAATAATTTAGCTCCTCATTCTCCCCCCCCCAAAATTAACTTGAATAATTATTTATATATAGATACATTATTACGTAAACAAATAACCTCAGTAATGTGGAAAAGTAGTGAAATACAAAATAGCTGTTCAAATGACTTTTGGAAATTTACATTCACTCATGGATTATTAAAATCTGCTTTTACTAAAAATTATTAATAAGCGCCAATAATGATTTCAACATATTATACTAAAAATTAGAGTACATTCTAAGTAAATTTTTGCTATTTTGTGAAAAAATTCCTTTTTTAACATGAAACTACTTTTGAAAAATACTATGAAGTATACTGTTTTGCAGGCCAGTCATGCAATGTGTTATTGAGTGGGTGATCATAATGTTTTGGCCCTTCAGTGTATATCTGCCCGTGTCTCATCTGGCCTCATAACTGTTTTTCTTTGCCAGTTTAAATCTGAAACTTCTTCCAGTATGGATTTGCCTTCTAATGATTCTAGTTGTTCTCTAGAAGTTTCCTGTTTTTCATCTAACTCTAATACCATTTCCAATTCTTCTGATTATTTGAATTCACTTTTAAGTTTCAGGTTTCTATTAATATCTGTTCTTCTGATAGCCCTATTCAGTACTTCCCCCCCCCCACAGCAGTTTATTGACATTTCACACCATGATTCCTTTTTCGCATCTCATTTGCCCTTTAGTCTATTTTGGTATGCCAATTTATGTATTACATCAAAATACTTTAAAATAAATAACATTGAAATTTCTACTGAAGAACATTTCATAATGGGTTTGATAATTTCTAAGACACACCCTGTTCCAATTATGTATATGAAACATACAAGATCTTCTGCCCACCACTCTTTTCTCATTTCACTATCATTATACACAGCTTTAACTGCATCTCATGCTCTTCAGTTAATTCTCTTCTGAGATCTAAGTATTTCAACTTTCAACACTAACTTTAATTTCAGCTAAATAACTTTCAAACTGCCTGTTACAACATCCACTACAGTATATCAGTGCATATACTAATTAAATTTCAATTTGTCAAATTTTCTGTTTGCCTATTATAATTTTTAAAGTTGCTGAATGATTCATTTTTTACTTTTTATAAAATACACAGTTACTAATACATTCAGTCATCTTCAATAGCAAGGAAATGTATACTCCCACCTTTAGATGGAGTTGGGAGTACATGATAAGTGTCTAAATAAACCAACTACAATGGTTTATTAGATTTCTTCAGAATGAGTTTAAAAGATATTCAAGTAGATTTGGTAAAAATACAAAAAATTTACACTTTGGCTTTTCAGTTTCAGGTAAAGATTTAACACCTTGATTTTTATTTGTGTTCTGAATGTAATCAAACTTTATACGACAGTATCTTCAATGTCATAACTTTGCATGGCATACTTTATTCAACTTTCCAGTTTCCATATTATAGGCAGATTCTTTTTTTTTTTTTTTTTTTTTTTTTTGTCTGTAACATATTAAGTGTTCATACATGATAAAGTTCATCATACTGTTTCACATAACATAATCTATCATAATTATTGAAATATACCCACATTTTACCACTTGAATGGGACCTTCCTTTTCTAACCTTGTTCTTGCTGGTAAATTTCTTCTTAGATTTGGATTATACAACACATTTTTCTAATTCAATTTAAATTTTTTGATTGCCTATTTTTAGTGGAAGTTTAATGGTACATTTTCCTAACACTTTAATTTTCTACAGCTTGAGATTATATATATTATTTATTTAAAATTTCTTTATCATTTAATTTTTTTTATTGCAGAAGTGAGTTTTAGCAGTATTTATTATACAATTAAATTTATTTGTATTACGTTGTATTTTTTTTGTACATGATACATAATTCTCTACTAATATTAATTCTTTATCTTTAAACTGTCCCTTTTGATCACCTGTTATAAACTTCTTTTAAATTTTCTTTACACTGTGCAATCCAAATTTATGACATATATTATCGTTGTATTCCCTATTTTTTCTTAAATTTAATTTTACTTTTAGTTCCATTTTTCTCTGCATCTGTGCTCATAGTATTAAATATGCTTACTTTGCTGTTTTTTTAAGTCTGCATGTACATGGTAAAGTCAACTTTCTTTCCTTATCAGTTTTTCAGTAATTTTTTTCACCAGAAATTCCTTGCTCTTCCACCTATAAATAAGCAGTACCATCATGGGATATTCCTGAGAAAAATGCAAGATTGCCTGAAATTCTTTAGAAAATATCTACCAAGTTGTGTCAGCTTCAACCAGATTATTCACAGTTATTTTTATCCTCACAATGAATAACTCCATTCTTCATCTGGTGAATACCAAATACTGTAAAATTCATCCAGTAGTTGAATTACTCTTGTTTTCAGTTCAAATTGCTTCAATAAAACCTCTTACACTTCTTTACCACTCAAACATTCTTGTATCAATGGCCTGAATCTAAAATGCATCCTTGCTACACAACACTATACACCTATAAACATCCATAAACCAGAGAAGGCACGGATAAACATCCATGCCTTCTCTGAACTTCCCAAGCCCATAGGTGTGGCATTTTGCCTCACTAACAACTATACAGGCTAGACAGCAGCCTTTTAGATAAAAACTAAAGCAGACGCAAAAAAAAAAAAAAAAAAAAAAAAAAAAAAAAGCAAATGAATGCGCAGTTAAATGACTCCATAACTTATATAGTCTTGACAACAATTCATGAGCAAACAGCAGTTTACCACTGACTGACCTCTGATTATATGCACAAGGGGAAGAAAACATGGAGGTAACAGAAGTCAGTCATTAGTGTTTGTTTTTGCTGCAACGAGCGATTTTTTTGGGGGCAGGTAAAGATTTGCCGTAGGACTGCCAAGTTGTCGGTAATGAAAAAGAAAGTGTTGCATTTCTTCAGCAATATGCATTTTGCATAACAGTAGGGAATGCAAAGACTGCATTCCATCAGGTTTTGTGTTCCATTGCTGAATATGTGCAATTCTGTGATGTTTTTTAAAGTGAAAACAGTGCACACAAAAAAAGTAATATGTGCAATGTCAAATTTGTGCAATCTTCTTTTTTTTTTTTTTTTTTTTGTGTGTGTGTGTGTGTGAAAATATAAGAAGTGTGCAAAGAGCCAAGTTGTGCCCAATGCCAAGTTTCTGCAATTCTCTGTTTTTGTTTTTTCCCCCCAAATTAAAATCAATCGCTATGTTCATGGGCAGAACAACCAAAAAAAAAAAAAAAAAAATTGTTTTATTATGGGTGCTTCCTGCATTTTCAATTTTGTTAACAGGTTACAATTTTCTGCAATTTTTAGTGCGCCACCATTTTTGAAGAATGGTGATGTCTTTTGGATCTTAGTGCGATGTGAAATTAGTCTCCAATGGTTTGCAACATTTTGGAAAGGGGATGGGAATAATCAGTAAATACTAAATATTTTTACGTCACTTGTTGCTATTTTTTTTCCAGTTTGAATGAATTATATCCAATTCCTACCACTGGCAGTACAGAAAATATTTTCTGCTAGCTGAAACCCAGCCCTGATTATAAGCAATATATGATTAATTCAGCAGACCACAGTTGATAAAAACTAATAAGCTGACTACTTTTTACATGCTTATATTTCTGTAAATGAATAATTAACTTTATGGAACATTTTTTGTTAGAAAACACTTTAAAATAATTGGCAGCAAAAAATAAAACTAATTAAAGGAAAATTACAACAGCTCAAATAAAAAAATATCATCAATTTAAATACAGAACTAAATAAATTGAGCATAAATAAAAGTATATTGCAGAAAAATATTAATACGTAATAATTGTTAATATTAATAACTGAGAAAGTATTATAAACATACGTATGAAGAAAACCATGTTCATGCAAGTGCTGAAGAGCTGAGGCAATGTTACATGCCATGCGTAGTAACAGACCATTTTTCAACAGTATTTCAGGCGATTTTCGCTTTTCTATAAGGTATGTTTTTAAATCCTTAAATAATAATAAGAATAATTAATTATTTACTGTAACAACCATTCTTTGTTCTGCAAAAAAAAAAAAAAAAAAAAAAAAAAAAAAAAAAAAAAAAAAAAAAAGTTTCTAATAATTCTATAAAAATATTTAACATAATAAACTTACAAAATTCATCAATTATTTCTAAAATATGCATGTACAATTGAAATTTATTTAATAATCAAAAGTACCCTTCTAGGAATAGAAAACTAAAACTTATACTACAGTAACTATGTAACTAACTTCCTTGAGTCTGTAATTTTTTTAATGAAATGATTGAATGAAAATTTTAATTTTTCAATGACTACGAATCACAGTTCATTTGCTAAAAAAAAAAAAAAAAAACTAATTAATAAATACTAAAACTCAGCTTCATGAATTAATTAAAAAAATATACTAAGAAAATAGGATATCTTGGCATCAGCATTTAAAACTTTGGTCCTCCGATTAGCAGAACTTATTTGACCAATTGAGAGACTTTTAATACAGTAGAACTGCATTAGCACAGCCCCTAATTTAAAAATTCGTAAGAAAGTTGCAATCAATCTTTCATAAAGCTTATCTCCTCTTTCCATCGGTGCATGCAGCATCTTTTTAACAGGAGCTGACTGCAATTGTTGCAAGCAGTGAAAATAGATCCAACTGATCTATGTAAATAAATGATATCAAAAACCCATTTTCATGATTAAAAAATATGGTTAAAAGAATTAATTAGTATTATAATATTCCATAAAACCTGAAATAGCAGCATATTTCCATAAGATTGTTTTCTTTCTCCAATTATCAGTTAAGCCAGTATTTCACAAAATTTGCATAATGATATACTGATATGTTGAGAAATTTTAAAATTTAAAAATAAATTTTAAAAGTTTACTTATTTTCAAAAGCACACTTCCTTAAATCAGCATTTTCTATAATAAAAATGGTGACTTCTAAAAAGAGATAAACTGGTATCTACCTCTTTCCCAGTTATGTGGTCAAGATGCAAGTCACACAAATTTGTTCAATACTTTTTCTTTGATGATCTCCCTAATATCACCATAAGGAACGAGTTGATAGGGCAAATGAACTGCAGACTTTGCCACAATGTCTACCTGCTCCTTTTACACCCACATGTCCAGGAAACCAGCAGTAAAGGATGTCATAACCATGGATCTTTAATTTTAGATCGAGTTTTAAGATACCGTAATTTCCGGAAGAAACGCTGCGGCGTTTACGTGTTTAAAACTTAAATTTTCAACGGGTACGGCATTTCTACCCATGCAGAGTTTAGGTGCAGTAAAAATAAAAATATTTCCTTTGATAGTGATTGTGCATAGTTTGAATAACTTTGTCATTGTACATAGTTTGAATAACTTTGTCATTGTACATAGTTTGCATGGCTGTCATTGTACACTGCTCAAAAAAAAAAAAAAGGAGGACAGTTCTATATCTACCATTCTACTGGGCCGATTGACAAAATTCAAATTGCGTTCTTCATGTCTCGAAAGCACGACTTAGGATATATATTAGATTTATATATAGCACTATTCTAACATAGGTATTTTGACACAAAATCGGACTTTTTCTGAAATAACATACCAATTTTTTTACATATTTCGATTCTACAACTCAAATTACACCTAGATATAAAATTTTGTAAAATTTGAAGCGAAATTTATGGAGAAATTCACAAATTTATGTTGGCACATTTTTTTCAGTTTGCACCAAGAATAGTTCACTTGGTGAACTTCTTAATATACGGCAACCTAGTTTCCTTTCACGTGAGAGAGAAAAAAGTCACCATCGTTCCTTTTTTCCAAATAATATTCTTTATATTATATTTTAATTATAACTGTTATTATTTTAAGTAATTTTTTCTTTTTCGAATTTCATTTTAATTGTTTAAGTTGCATGGGTTTTTTCGAATAACTGTTTTAAAATATCTATTTACCTATTTTAACTGTGTAAATAAAGGTGCAGCGTTTATTTTTTTTCAAATAGTTTTTTTTATATATATATTTTTGTCATAGTTATTATTTTAGGTAATTTTTAAATTTTTATACTTTTATTTTAATTGTTTGTGTTGCATTGTCTCTTCAGATAATTGTTTTAAAATTTTCTATTTATTCCTTCGAACTGAGCATTTTAAATATATTTATTAATATAAATTTTCCAGAATTTGATTTTATTTATTTGAATTGCGTTTCTTTCGGAAGAATACTTTGCAACCCAGACTACGATGCATTTGAAAACTGCATATATTAAAAGAGAAAATACAGTAAAGCGCAGTTAAGACGCCTTTCAATGTTCCGTTCAGAAAAGATGTATAACCGACATTTTAACTTAGGATGACTTGCATACACTGCTTTAAACAGTTTTATCATTGTGCCCATTGTTTACACAATTTTATCCTACATTTGGTTTCTTAAAATGTTATTCATATTTTAGTGAAATATTTTATTTTTGAAATCGCAAGAATCAAATATCAGATTAAAAGGTTTTAAATTAAAAAAAAAAAAAAATACAAATACTAAATTTTATGCAAAATTTATTTTTTCTTCTCTTTTTCTTCAGGCATTCTACTTTATTCTTGCTCTTTTTCTTTAGGCATTCTGCAAGTATATTAAAAAGCATTCAACTTTTCGAAATATCTTGGTATTTCTGACAATCATTTTAAATAAAGTTATCGCCTTCCATTTCATAAAGGCCCACAAACGGCCGAGCGGTAAAGTCGCTGAACACTGGTAGTTCACTCCGGGGTTTTAATCCAAGTAAACGGGCTGGTTGCATGGGCGTTTTTGTGGATTTTCTCCTGTATACCGTGTATGCCAGCTGGTTTCCCTTAGAAAGTTCTTCACGAAGTATTTCGTCAGAGCCTTTATCAGTCTTTAGAGGCTAAACATTTTGAAGGTATGAGATGAAAGGAAAGACTGGTTTCCTCAAGAGGTTTTGGTTTATTTCATTATGACAAAGCACACTAGGGCTTTTTGCCTAAGGGAAGGGATGCCTTCATGGAGGACTTTCTAAGGGAAACTGGCTAGCATACATGTTACACATGGGGAAAACCACGAAAACGCCCATGCAGCCAGCCCGTTCGCGGGATTCGAACCTCGGACCGAACTACCAGTGTTCAGCGACCTTACCGCTCGGCCGCTGTTTCATCAGGAGGAAAAAAACGTCTTTAGGTGACATCCACATACATCACTGGATACACTCCTGAATATTCAAATAATTCAACTGAGAAAATCATGGGATTCTCCATTTATGATACGATATGATGTTCTGTAACATAATTTAAATTTATACAACCATATAGTCTAAAACCAGTCGCTCTTAACTTTAACCTGCAATGATATGGTTTTCGTCTTTTCTGTTAACACAAGCTCAATTAATGGTATTTGCTGGTGTACACGTCCAAGTGTTTTCCCTTTGAACACCTAAATTCTTTGAAGTATCCTGAAAGTATATTCAAAAGCGTCCAACTTTTTGAAATATCTTGGTATGTCTGACAGCCAAATTTCCCTGCAAATTTTTGCTTACTTTTCTCCCTAATTTTCTTCTTTCCTTCTACATTTATTTTCAGTGCTCACACAAGAAAATTAAGATTTTTCGATTGCTAGACTTACATAAATTTTGCATTCTTGTCAATTTTTTAAGATATCAATTACATAAATTGCATTTCAGCTGAAGACACCTTTTCATTTTCTAGTCATTTTAACTATAAATAAAGTTTAAAGCGAAGTCCAAAGGATAAATAATTTAATTAAAAGATTTTTGCTAAATGACAAAGAAATAAAACAGTCCAGCAGGGTTTATTCTGTACCACCGAGTGACCCGATTCTTATATTGGCTGAAACAATCTAAATCATATTAAAGATCATGTTTTTTTTTATACAATCTATAACGCGAGAGAAAAATTAGCTTCTTAAAACATTCTTTCTAAGAGGATTAATGTAAAAGATTATATTTATATATATATATTTTTAAAGCTGGGACTTGAACCAAATTTTCAAACTTTTAAAGTTTAATTTACATGGTGGTTATAATTAAAGTTCCAATTTGAAATGGTCATAAAAGGAAAACTACCGGACCAAATGTTATCAAACTTGGGAATCGCGTAAAGGAGGTTATGGGAATTTATTTTCCGTGGGAAAAAAAAAAAAAGAGTTTAAAAACTCACCACCACGGGAAAAATGACACTGTATACTAAATATAAATGAAATAAGACATGAAAACATCTGTTTAAAATGTGTTTAATAGTTTCCGAAACATGTTACAAAGCATTTTCAATCTAGCATCCAGTATTTCCCAAAAGCAAGTTAAATCCTGTTACTGCATTCTCAACAGCAGCTCTTAGCATATTTGATGAATGTTACGGGTATGTCCGTGTATCTCATTTTTCATTTCTGCCAAATTGTTTAGATTATCACCATAAACAGTGCTTTTGAGATAACTCCATAGCCAAAAGTCACAGAGTTTGAGGTCTGGTGGGAAGAGGGGAAGTGTCGGCCTTAAGACGTTCATTCGTGAAATGTTGCCTAAGTAAATGTGCGACACATGTGAGGTGTTGCTCAGCCCTGCATAAAAATCGTAGTATCTAAAATGCCACGTTACTGCAGTTCATGTATCACGAGACATTTTAACATTGACTCTAAGTGAGCTGCAATCACAGTGATCCAGCTGTCGACTCGTCTTCAGAGAAAAATGGTTCAGTTATAAAAACTAGCTGTCATTCAACACTAAATGGTGCAGAATGACTGCTATGCAATCAAATGCAGTAGGAGAATGTAATGGAACTAGATAGATAACATGAGAGATTTCTTTGGCCCAAATCGATTAAAAGCGTTTTCAATCAGTATCTTCACGTTTTAGGGCCGACTCAGGCTTCAAAATTACAAATTAGCAATCTGCAAGAAAACGATTTCCAGATTGTACGCACTTGTGCGAGTGATTTGCGATCTCACATTTTCTAATCGCTAATCCGTGGTTTTCATGGA